GGTGGGGCTGCCCCCAAGGAGGAGCCAGCCTTGGGCAGCTGCAGACTCCACTCTACCTGGCTGCCACGTGCAGAAGCTCTCGGCTCACCTGTGAGAATATACATCTGGGGGGGGGGGGGGATCAAGGGGGGGGGGGGGGGGGGAAGCGAATGATGTATTTTAGTATCGGCTGGCTGTCAGGACTCCAACAAATCCACCCCGGTTCAAATCCTGTCTCTAGCCACATCTCTCAGAGTCAAAAAGATTGATTTATTAGGAGGGGCCATGTTGGCGTTGGCTGGATGCAGCCGACACTAAAAGACACCATTCCTTTCCACCTTGACCCTGGTCTCCCCCGATGCCTATTCTCCAATGGGCCACATCCATAGCCAAGAGTCATTCATCATGCTCTCCAGTCATAATAATCACCCTGGGCTGCCAGGGTGATTATCTAGGCACTCAAGAAATGCACTTTTTCCCCCACTCCCTTTTTTCTGGCATCTGAAAAGATCAAAGGGGAATCTTTTTAGTTGACACAGAGTCCCTGCGGGCCGAGTTCAGCTGGACTGGTGGGTCTCCTGGGTCGTGCAAACTCGGTCTGGCCCCACCGAAATGTTGGTTAGCTTGTTAACCGTGGGAAGCCTGGGGGTCCAAGGCCAGCAGGGCTCGGCAGGGAGGTTGGCACAGCATTGTGCTCCGTCTGGTGGGAAGGTGGGGTCAGACTTAGGGCGACGCCCGACATCTTCCCATCGCCCAGCCCTCGCCCAGTTCCCTGGAGAGGAGGAGGGGGTGGCCGCCAGCTGCTCTTTGCCCTCCCCATGGGCGGCCTGGATTCCCCTCTCTCTGCCACCTCTTTCTGCCCCAGAGGCAACGGGCAGAGGCAGCGCTGGGTCCAGAATCTCGGGGACCATTTTGAAGCCTCTCGGGCACAGCTGGCTCTCTTGCTGGGGGGGGGGGGGGCAACGCCCATGCCAAGCTCCACAGATCGTGGGGGGATGTGAAAGGCCCTCCTGCTCAGGGCTGGGCAGGGGTGGCTGGCATGGCTGCCTCCTCGCTGCCTCCTTCCTACCTTCCTCCTAGATGGAGCGCTGCAGCCATTTCTTCCAGATGAAGAACGTCTCCTTCTGCGGTTGCCACCCCCGCAATAGTTGGTAAGTGGCTCCTTCTTCAGGGGGTGCCCAGTTGGGATGGCACAGGCTGCCTTGGCAGTTTCTGCCCCCACGGAGGGAAGGGCACCAGTGGTGGTGGGGGCTCTTTCTTTGCAGATGGGCCTCTGGAGCCCTCTTGGGGGTCTGCTCGCTCTGTGGCAGTTGCTGGCCCCGCTGAGGTCAGCCAAGGCTCTGTGGTGGGCAAGGTGGGCAATGGCAAAGCCACACGAACTGGTGCTGCTGGTGCCAGGATGGGTTTGAGACTCTGGTGCCGTACGGCCTCTGACACTCTGCAGAACCAAGGGGGCAGCCTTGGCACTGGCCAGTGAGCCAGGCTCTTTTGGGCAAACGCGCCAGCCGGCCTTCTTCCTTCTTTCCTTGCCCGGCCCTCCCCAGCTCGACAGGGGTGCCCTTTGCCCCTCCCCCCGGCAGCCCTGCGACCAGGGGCTGCTCTGCCCTCTTGGCCTCACTGCTGCTTCTCCCGCAGCTATTTTGGCTTCATCACCAAGCACCCCGTCCTGAGTCGCTTCGCCTGCCACGTCTTCGTTTCGCAGGAGTCCATGCGGCCCGTGGCCGAGTGTGTCGGGTAAGTGGCCCTGGAGGCTGCTGCAGCTACGTCGGTGCCACCCAAGGAGGCGGAGGGCGGCCAAAGCAGCAGCCAGAACCCCAACTCCGCAGGGCAGAGCAACCCTTTGGGCTGGGGGGAGCCCAAGTCACAGCTGGGAGGACCCGAATTGGCCAGGTGGTGGCCGAAGTGGCAGGGCCAAGCGCCAGCCCCACCGCCCCCAGTCTCAGCCTGCCATGAAGGCAGAAGGATGGCCCACCAGCAATTGTGCCCCCTCCCCTCCTTTGCTGGAGTGCCGGGGGGCAGGGGGGGGTGAACGCCCCTAAAGATCCAGCTGTGCCCCTCTAGAGGGGTGAGGCAGGGTCCCCCTGGGCGTGCAGAGCGATCTGTCCATCTGGTTCGGATGGCACCAATTCCGTTCCTTGCGCCCCGCGTCCCCTCAGCCCGTCTTTGCCCAAAGGGGGGGCCTCAGCCAGGGAGGGGTCCGCATAGCAAAAGCCCCAGCCCCTCCCAGGGCACCCGATGGCACAGGGGCAGCCCCACATAACCTGGGGCACTGCTGGGCCCTGGCCTGAGCTGAGCACCACCCCAAGGGCTCCACCTGGTGGGGGAGGAAGGGAGTGCCGTGGGGGGACCCTCCGTGGCTCCTGTGCAGCCGCATGTTTCTCCTCAGTGGGGGTGGTGGGAGTTTGGTCTCTAGGGCCCTGGACAGGTGCCTGCCTGGGGGAGGGGGGCTCTCCCCATCGTCTTGGGGGAGGGGAGGTGTATCTGGCCTCCTCCCCCAGGGGTGCTACTAACTCAGCTCTTCCTCCTCTTTTAGCCGCGCCTTTCAGGAATACTACCAGGAGCATCTTGAGTTTGCTTGCCCCACAGAAGACATATACCTGGAGTAGGACGTGAGCTGGAGGGCAGCCCCTCCCCCCACCCCCAGTTTCACGCCCCCCCCCCCAGAGAGACGGACCCAGAAGCAGCCTGAGTCCTGCCAGGCGGCCGAGCCCACAGCTTCCCTGCACGAGGGGGCCCTGGCCCTGGGGGCTTCTGGGGCCCAGACCGGCCTGGTGGGCCTCTTGCCCTCTCTCCCCCTTTCCCAATTCCCCAGCCCCCCACAACGTCCCAACGTGGCCAAGGGAGCAGCCAGGGGAGCAGCCTCTCAGAGGGTGCTTGGTAGGGAGGAAATGGGGGGGGGCCGAGGGGGGGGGGCGGTAGGACCCTGAGGTGGACTCGCGTGGCGGGTTGTGTTTGTGGGGGGGGGGGGGGGGGGGCTTCCCAGAATGACGGCCTTTGTATGAGGTCCCTTGTTTGGGCTGGAAGGAAGGCTGGGAGGGAGGGGCACGCATGGAGGGGCCCCTCCCTCGAAGAAGGCTTGCCTGGGGAAAGGGCTTCCGCCTGCCAGCCGCCCCCCAGCCTCCCTTCATCCCTTCTGGTGGGGGAGGGGAAGGGCGCTCTGTGCCTCCCCCATCCTGCTCCCTGCTCTGCCTGGCCTGCCTGCTCTGGCTGCCCCCTCCTCAATCCTGGTTTTCAGGAAGGGGGGGCTCCTCCCTCACCTGCCCCCCCCACGCATATCTTCCTGCTAATTCTCACCTGCCAGGGGCACAGCTGAGTTGGGGGGAGTGCAAGATAGAACCCCCCCCCCCCCGTTGCGCGGCGGCCGGGAGCCCAACGGGCATTTCTCCAGGCAGCGCCTTGGGGGAGGGGGGGAAAGGGGGAGGGGGTCCCCCGGGGGGGGGGGGGGGGGGGAGTGGAGGGCTCCTCCTTTCCCACTTCTGGTGCGGGGGAAGGAGATGAGCAACGACTATTCCACGCATCACCATTTGCAGAGAACCCAGGACCCCCCCAGTTCTCTTTTGCTGCGCCCCCCCCCCGCCCCGGCCGGGGGTCCGCCCGGCCGCCGGGCCCCCCCGGGGCCCCCCCCCCCCCCCTTTTCCCCCCCCCCCCCCACTGTGCCTGGTGAACGCACCCGCTTGCCCGCCCGCCCGCCTGGACCCGGTGCCAGCTGAGCGATTCGTGGCCTCCGCTCTCTGTCCATGTAGCGATGATGATATTTATCCTCCGTAACCCCCCCCCCCACCAGGAGCAGAGCCTCGTACAGACCAGGCGGGGGACCCCCCCCTGCCTGCTCACTGCCTGCTCACCAGTCGGACTTTCAATAAAATATATGCTTGGTGTCACCACGTGTGAATGCGGCGTGTGGGGGGAGCTCCGGCAAGTGTCAGTGGGCAAACAGGCGGCCTGGAGACCGAAAGGCCTGGAGAACCATTGCAGGAACTGGGTTTGGACCCAGAAGAATCGGGGGGGGGACAGGAGAGCAGCGCTCCAGCATTTGAGGGGCTGCCACAAAGAAGGGGGGGGACACAACCTGTTCTCCCGAGCGGCCGAAGGGCAGGAGAAAAAAGCAACGGAGGGAAACTCATCAAGGAGAGAAGCAACCGGGAATTCGGACGGAGGACAAGGAACCAGTGGGGGAGAAGTTCTGCCTCCGGAACTGGTGGGGGCTCCATCCCTGGAGGTTTTCAAGAAGAGGCTGGACAGCCATTTGCATGGGATGCTGTAGGGCCCCCTGGTTAAGCAGGGGGTTGGGCTAGAAGACCTCCAAGGTCCCTTCCAGCTCTATTCGGATTGGTCGATTGGCACTGCCTGGTAGCGGTGAGGCCGATGGCATCTAGGCTGGCAGCTGTTGGGGTTGTAAGGGGAGGGTTACCCAGGGCAGCCCCCCCCCGCAGCCTTTGCCTGTGCCAACGGGAAAGCGCCAAGGCTGCCCTGCCTCTGGGGTGGGCATAAAATGGGGGCATCGCCCCAGGGCTGTTCATGCTGTGCTTGCAGGCATTGGGGGGGGGGGGGAAGGGGGAAGATCCTGTGGGCCAAGTTCGTTTAGTGACCAAAGTTACAAAGGCCCTCAAAAAAGTGACACATTGCGGCCTCCCCTGGGTCACCTGGTCAACATTCAGAGGCTTGGCAACTGGCATGGACTTACGACAGTTGCAGTCTCCCCTTTTGTGACCTTCTGACCAGCAAAGTCAATGGGGAAGCCGGGTTCGCTTAACAACCCGGTTGCTAAATTAACGGCTGCAGTGGCTCGCTTAACAACGGAGACAAGAAAGGTTATAAAACGTGGCAAAACTCACTTAACAAATGTTCCACCTAGCAACCTACATTTGGGGCTCCATTGTGGTCGTGACTCGGGGGCTTCCTGCAGAACGATCCCCCCAAAGGGAGCGGCTGCTTTGAGGAGCCTTTCCTCCCAGCTGCGGGATCTGGCGGTGCTGCCCCCCCCCCCCCCCCGCTCCACAGACCCCTGGAAGAGACCCGGTTGGGGCGGTCCAGGCGGCACAGGAGCCTCTCTCGGGCTGGGCCTGGAAAGGTTCGGGGACGGTGCCTGGCAGGCCGGAGGGGAATAACTTGGGGTTGGCATCCTCACCGGGGCCCGGCTGTGCTGAGATCTTATGCCGAGTCCCAAGGCGCCGCCAGTGGTTGAGCAGACTAGCGCTGGCTCATTTGTCGGTGCGTTTGAACTGTATCCGTGCAGGGCAAGGTGGGCCTCGTCCAATGACGGTCGGATCTGCTCCTCGCTTCTTCGCTGGCATCCTGCCATTAGTTGGAGGGAGGGAGGGGAGGAATTTGGGGCAGCAAGAGGTGGGCTTGAGATAAAAACAGGAGGGGGGGCTGACACGTTGACCAGAACCGGAGGTGCCAACCCAGAATGAACCAGCCTCCAGGGACACCTGGCCTGGGAACCGAATGCGAAAACAGTGCGGGAGGTGCTGGACTTCCAAGCCATTCCCACAACGTCAATCAAGGAGCCCCGATGGGCTGGTCACAAGGGGGAGGAGGAGAAGTGGGAATATTCAGATCTAGCGTCACTCTTGCAGCAACCGCTTCGCTTTAGGGAAAGAGCCCCTCCCGTCTAACAAGTGGGAGTCGAGGGTCTTTCTTTCCTAAATGTCTCACCAGGGCAGGTCTGACAGTGACTGAAATTGGGACCAGAATTCCCATTGTTAAGCAAGGCAGTTGTTAAGTGAGTCATACTCAATTTTATGATCTTTCCCCCCCCCTCACCGTTGTTAAGTGACTCCAGCTTCCCCCGTTGACTTTGTGGGTTGGAAGACAGCTGGGAAGGTCACAAATGGCGGCCCTGGGACCCTGAAACCACCCTAGACACAAGCGGCTTTGCCAAATGCCCGAATCTTGATCCTGTGCAGTGGTCACAAGGGAGAGGACCAGTTATACGTTATTTTTGGCACTGCTTTTGTAATTTTGAACGATCACTGAACAAATAGTTAAGTCAAGGACTCACCTGTCCTGCCGTAGCCCTGAATCCCACCCGTCAGAACTTATTGCCAGTCTGCCAAGAACCCCCCCCCGGGGGGGGGGCAAGGGGGAGGAGCTGGAAGGGAAGGGGGACAACCCAGAGGAAGCTAACTGTTGAGAACCAACAAGTCTTCGAGGTCGTCTTCCTGGGAGGAGAATGTCGCCCCACAGAAGGGCTGTTTCCAAAACCTCTCTTTTAAACCTGATTGGACAATGGGGGGGACAGACGATGGGAAAGGACCCCGGGAGGAAAGTTAACTGGCAAAAGGTCTGCAGAGATTCTCCGTCCCTCCAGGTGTTGCCCCAAAGGTGCTTTTTTTTTTCT